AAAAAAAAAAAAAAAAAAAAAAGTAAAAAGTCTTTACTGAGGATCTGTTTCTTCAAGATCACCAGGGGGAGCCAGTAACCACCTTGGAGATTGGAAACCATCAATGGTGCTAATGAAGACCACTAGAGTGCTGTGTCACCTTTTCTCGATAGTCTTTCTTGTGGTAACAGCTCATTCTGATTTATTCTTCTGGTAGAAGTGTCTATAATTAGACTGCTCATGCACGTTGGTAATCAAGCTTCCGTGTGTAGTAAAACGAACAAGAAGATTAATGGCTTATATCTCACCTTAAAGTTCTCTGTTGCTTAAAATTGATCCCAGAAAGATTAAAATTTGACCTGTATGAAAGGTGAGGCATTTTCATTCTCATGCTTCTTCCTGTTCTCTGAACATATAAGCAGCCTCATGAAAGGCTGCAGAAATACCCAGGAGCTGGTACAGCAGCTCATATTGTGCAATCCAGCCATGCTGTTTGTGATGCTGCCAATGCTTCCTTTATAGGAAGCTCCTGTACAGGGGAGGTAAATTGTATTTTGCCCATTAAAGACTGTTTTCATCTTTTCACCCCCATTCCCATGAAATTTGAGATGATTCTGTGTGCTGGCATTTTAGGTAGAAACCTGTTCTTCAGTTCTCCCCAGCCCCTTTCTCACTTCTGTTGAGTCCTTAGTGGCAATGGAGTTCGCTGGTGAGCCATTCATTGTACATTAAAAAGATCTGTTTAACCTGAAAGTTAAAGAGAAGTGCCCACTTTTCCTGCTATTAAGATAGAAGAGCTTCTACCTGATCCCCCGTAACTGTGGTATTCATTGCTTTATGAGCCTCTTATGTTATCATTTGGATAATTTCTATAAGAATGGTTCCAGCCTTTTGAGCTTATGCTCTTCTCAGTTTGTCTTTGCTGCTGTGCACTTCATCTTTTCTGGTTTTGCTGTGGCTGTCCTTTGAGACAGAATGACCTGTAGCTGAAAAGGAAAGAGTTCACCTCTGATGCCATTAGGGGCATTGTTATGAGTGTTATAATCTCTTCTAAAACATACAGGCTTAAATTATCACAGCATTGCTGTTTTACCTTTAATAATTGATACTTACTGTTTGTGTATTGCCATACTGATAGAATCTCTGTTTATCTTGTTTATTATGTAAGTATGATAATGGAGTCTTCCCTTGCTCTCAGAGGTGTGAGGGGAATTAGCTTAACAACCTGTGCTCTATGCTCCAAAACTACTTCTGAAGTTTTGTGCATAGAAAAATAATTGTATTATATATATGTGGGCTCTTGGCTGGGTTGTTTTAATATTTACCTTTAAAAAAACAGTCATATTATTCCCTCCATATGTCCTACGTTTTGAGCATTTCAGAAATAATTTTTAAAACAAAATGAGAGGAAATAAATTTTGTCAGAATCTAGAAGTATTTCAGGAGTTAAGGTTTCTCTGCAGTCCTTCAGTTTCTGGCACCTGAATATTTTTTCTTTTTTTTTCTTTTTTTCCCCCTTAGCTGTTTTATAAAGCTCACCTGACTTGCCGTGAGACCTGTTGTATTGCTGTCTATAAGCACCTGACTACAAGGTCAGATTTTGATTGTCTGAGTTGTTGGAGAACAAAGGCCTGTCAGGTTTTAGTGCCCCTTGGCTGCACACAGCACTGTAGGCTTTGACTGTTTGCACTAGACCCCACTGTGCAGTTTTTCTTTGAGGTTGCCTTTGTGCCATGCAGAAACTAATTGTGCTTTCAAACATTAGTGTTGACCTTGCCAGTTTTGGTTGTTCCCTCCAGGCAGAAGCAGCTGTCTCACCCTACCACACACCAGCAGCAGTGGAAACATCCCTTTACCCTCTGTTTATAGAGGGGAAAACACCCCACTTCTCTGTGAGGAACAAGTAGATTAGTAGAGTTGGGGACTGTGGATAATGTTTTCCAGTCTGCAAAAGTATCACCTCACATATCTGTGTATCTGGTGGCTGGAGAGCAGTAAGGTAGGCGGAAGCAGTGGTGGGATCTGGGTAGCTCTGAAGGAGTTCTTGGGAGCACAGAATACACAGGCTGAAGACTGAGACAGAATACAGGTAGGTGCTCAACAAAAGGCCCTTTCTCTTCTATCTTTCCTTTACATATAAACTCAAGGAATGGCCTCAGAAACGTGAAGCTGCTCTCATGTATCTGGGTCCAACTGAGAGACCTCCAGAGGAGCCAGAGGAGAAACAATCCAGACCTCCTTTGTATGTGAGGCTTTACAGACGACTTCAGTTATACTGGTCATCTCGCCCAAAAGGTGAAGTGTGTGTGTGTTTTGACAAAAGCTTACAGGCAGGTTTTACTCCCCTAATAAATTAGTGGGGGTATTCTGCTTTACTTTTCTACTTTCTCATTTTTATATTATTATTATTTATTAAAACTGTGACTTGGTCAAGTTGGTTACAGTGATCTCTGCCAGAAGTGGAACAGAGTAGTCCTGTCAGTGCTTGTGGCCTCATAAACAAAAACCTGTTTGTAAAGAACCCATGTGCTGTTCCCTGGGCTCACAGTTGCTTGCCATTGCTGTGGAAGCCTTAATAAGTGAAATGTGGCTCTAACAGGTGAGCTTCTTGAAATCTTCCTTCTGTAGAACAGCTTCCCTAGTGGGCTGGTGTGAGAGGAGCAGCCCTTCTTTTTCTGGGTGGGGAGATTTTTCTGGGTTGAGAGCACAACAAATTTTACTTAAAATAAAAAAAACAGAACTTGGGCCATGCAGAAGTGTCAAGTTCTTAGTACATTAGATTTCTTGCTGTACCATAGATTTTCTTCTGTATGCTATGTGAGCTTCTCTTGGGTTGGGATGTTAGCTAGGCCAGTGCATGTGGCAGACTTCAGAAGGAAGAGGAGTGAGTGTGTATTTTGCGCAGTTGGGAGTGATGCAAAGTCCTTCTCATCCCTTCTTTGCTAGCAGAGGTGATGTAGACAGAAGAGTCAACTAAGTGACCTTTATATGAGAACTGAACACTAGGCTTTCCCCCTATAGCAAATACATGTTACTACTGCATCCTGAACATTGGATTCCTGTTTTTTCAGTAGCAATGCTGCATGTGTTTTCTAAATGTTCCTGTAATAGTAGTCCAGGACATCTATTAATCCTGGGTACAGGGACTCACAGGGCTGCCACATAATGTACTTGATAGTCTTTCCTGCTACTACATGCATTGCTGGTGTTTTTCTCTTCCCTTCAGTACTCCCAAGCTCCTTTTTCTTTTTAAGATTTTTAAGATTGGAAGAAGCAAAGCTAGTGGTCACCATGGGTCAGAGTGATTTTTGCAGATTTATGTTTCATGCTTCATAGCAGTGAAATGATGATCTGTGTAATTAGATTCCACTTAATGCTATCTTCTCCTCTGGATTCACAGAAATCCCCCAGGAGGTAACCCCAGAGGACTGGGAAGAACTGAAGCTCTCCACCATTGAGCTTTCCATTGCAACTCGGAACAGGCAGCTTGATCTTAAGGTAAGACCATAGTATAACTGGATTCCCAAGTGCTGCCTGCCCACACAGTTTTTTTTCTTGCTAAACTCCCATTCTTCTGTCTGTGTAAATAAGACTTATTGCTGCATGCAGGGAGAGGCCCTTGACTGAATCCAGCAATGGGCGGATTTCAGAGCCAGTGTAAAAGCAACAGACACACACGTAAAACTAGGATGCACTGGGATCAGGAAGAATTTGTATAACAAAAAGATTTAACTAGCCGAACAGAAGCCTTAGGGTTACCTGGGAGAAAACAGTGTGTCAAAATAGGCCCTTCTTTCTTTCTTGAGCCATGAGAGAGTGATTATGTCTTACTAGCTGGTGCTGGAAGGAAGCTGTCACCCTGAATGTCTGTCTGGAATTCCAGCTTGTTCTCTTGTCTTTTGGCTTGCAATGCAAAAGGTTAAAAAGGACTGGGACTAGAGAAAGGATAGGAAGTTAAAGGAACTAGAGTTAAAGGACAGGAAATGCAGGTGATTGTGAAAGAGAGAACCAAGGGAGCAAGAGATCTGTTCCAGTCATAACTTTCTCAACATGATGTTTATTCACTGTTTGAAAATGTATCTTTGGCTTATGTCAGTGTTTTAGTCCAATTTTATTGTTGTGAAAGCTGTCTGGATAGATGTCAATCTTTAATTTTGCTGGAAAATGCTGACACAGTGATCCTGTACAGGTGAGCTGCCCTTCATGTTTTCCTCATGGCTGCAGGAAGCCACCACTGCTACACCCAGATTGACTGGAGGTGTTGAAATTACTGATGTGTGTTTCTTGCTCAGAATACATACCTGAAAAAATTGTGTTATGTTGATATACTATCTTTGTTTAATCTGTCAAAAAGAAAACCCAAACAAATCTAGACTTAAAAGTTCCTCCTGTTTTCTTCTGAGAATGTGCCACATAAAATGTTAGTTTCTTCTTTATCAGTGGCTTATGTTTTGGACCACCAGTCTCATAGTAGTAGTGGAAGCTAGACAGAGACTGCCAGGGTATTTGTTTTTTTCATGGTTCTAGATGGCCCTTGAATAAAACAGTTCAAGAAAACTGCATTCGAGTCAGTGAAGTAAAAACAGACCTAGCAAGAATTGAAAAACTGTCTCAATGCCACAGACTTGATGCCTTCAATATGCACTTCAATACTGCTGTTGAACAAAGAAGTGATGTAGGGTTCTCAGATCTCTTGCATAGCTTAGAGAAACGGACAAGTTTGTTAGGGCAGATGTACTTTTCTGGTTCTAGAGCTGGAAGTGGCTTGATACTGCATCTGTTTTCCTATAGATGTGTGCCTCTTACATTTTGATTCATGGTCATGAAGCCATTGTCCCTGTAGCCATCAAAGCTGTACAGCAGCTCTCTCAAATCAATAGCAGGGCATATGTGCAGAGTATTGTCAGCCTGTTTTATCTTTCTGTCACACCTCAGATTCATGCCTAGGCTGCCCTGCTGAAGAAAAGCTGAGAAAGCCATACAGGTGCAGTTCAGACAGTGCCAAGCTTACAGACCCAGCAAGGGAATAAGAACAAGTTGCTCTAATAGATGCATTTATTTTTACCTTTGTCATTTTGATTGCATCTGCACTAGGAACTTTGCCAGGACAGAAATGTTAAATAAATAAATAGATAAATAAAAATTAATTGCATCTTGATATCTGCTTTCCCAGCAAAAGCTTTACTGTATCCTTGGTTTGATGGCAGGCTGTAAATAGCAAATAAGCTAAGTAAGGAGTTTAAAGGAATCATAATTCCTTTAATGATAAAGTAATGATTCCTTTAAGTGATAAAGGAATGATAAAGAATACTTTGACTTCCAATTTTTATTGTTTCAAATTCTCTTACTGTAGTGTTTGCTAGCAAAATGTTACATCATTCTACTATTGCCTATAGTCAGGAAAGACCCATTGATTAGAAATCTTTGTGAAGACAAGTAAACCCAAGAGATCTGCTATGATTGTCTTTAATAAGTGTGTGAAATAAAACAAAAAGCTGAACATGTGAATCGTTTTTTCACTTCTTGTGTTATTTGTTGTTGAGCAGTCACCAATGAGAATTTACTATCTATAATTTATAATCCAAATCTCAAGTGGAGATGGGGAAAAAAACATGACATGCAGAAATGCATCTTCTGCCTCCTTTTGTGGGACAAAGGACTGGGCATTTTGTGAATATGTTGCAGTATCATGGGTGTGGCATTTTGAAGTGTTAACTGCTTCATCTCTGAATCTTTTTGCGTAGCGCACCGAAGACTTCATGGATATTTGCATTGAAGCAGATACTGTCAGCAAAGGACAGTTTGTAAGCAGAGGGTGAGTATGGGAAGGCTGCAAAAAGATGACAGTCTGTGTGAGTTCCTGAGACGTGTGCTGTTTTTCTCTCATCTTGTACTGCAAAATTCAGAAGCAGAGGGCTGCAAAGGACAGCAGTCTGTAATGCTTCATAAGGATTACTGATTCTGTTCTTTAAAATTCTTGCTAATATTCTCATTCTGGAAACAAGGTAAAGCAGTCTACCTGGAGCTCTTCCTAGCTTCTGAGCTTGCTATACCTTTCATCTGTTTCCCTCTGCCTATTTATCAGTGCTACTTGGATAATAACAGAGTTTTATAGACAGTCATGCAGACTTTTCCCCAGAATCTTTTAGCACTAGCTGCTCAGTGGTTTAAGAGGCAGGTCACTGAGGTGATACGTTTGTATTAGTGGTACCTGGAATTTTTGAATGCTGATGAGACAGGCCCTACATCTAAGCAAAGGGCACCTCAGATTCAATAGGCCTTACAAAAAATTAGGTCTGTGGTGTATGAGGTTTTGGAAGATGAGAATTGAAACAAGAACTTTGAGTAAGTGTTGCTGCTTGCACATGGAGTAGGAAGACTGCAGGTATGAAGAAGCAACACATAGAGGAAGAGTGAACATGTATTGCTTCCTTTGTGCTTAGAATGTTGTCTTGTGCATTTGTTCCTCCAGCTCTCACTAGACACAAAGCTGAGCTGCTATCTCTGGATGCTCCATACAGTCCCATTAGCAAATACATTGCATCTTCTGTCCAGGTTTTAGCAGCAACGGATTTTCTGCTAAATCCAAGAGTGAGGTTCTGCACGTTACTATTTTGCTAATACTGTTTTCTAGTCTTAGAGCTCCCTCTAGTGAAGTCAATGGAAAGATTTCAACACATTTTTACCTGCTTGTAATTCCTGATTCCTGAGTGCATGTCTTGTTTATGATACTAATAGCAGCAGCAGGGCCCTTATTTGAGCATCCCATGAGACACAGTGGGTGTTAGGTTCTTCTGACCTATGTAAACATAGTAGGTCAGCTTACCACCCGCAGTGGCTTTTAAATTATATGAGCTCTGTGGACCATGGGCTGCTTGGGACTGAAATATTTGCTTTGAAGGCTACAGAAGGAAAGGAGGAGGAGATTTTCCCATTAGCAACAAGAGGAATCTGGCCTCTTAAAGGAGGGACATGAAGGAGATGGTATGCTGTATTCTTGGGCACTTTGCTAGCAGAACAAATGTGTGATTTAAGGAAGGGGTATTTGAGTGTACAACCACTGTAAAGAATGTCACCTATGTGCACTGGACATGCTTCACACAGTAGCATGTTGTATTTTCTGACTGCAAGTACACTGTCATGCCCTGAAATTTAACATGCCCTGCTGGCTAGAGCTAATTAGAGACAGTACCACAAGCTTTGAGATGCTGTTCAAGTAAGGTTCAAAGAAACAAGCTTTTTGATTAAATAGTGTCCAAAAGTCTGTAGGTAACAAAGAAAGAGAAAGAGGGGTGTGTGGACTGGGGCAGCAGCAGGAGGGACTAATTAGTCCTATAGTGAAGAGTTAGAAAAAAATGTGCCATTTTTTGCAAGGCAAAATCAGGGAAGCTCTTCACTGCACAGTGCCCTTTGGCAGTTGGGTTTGAATCTACCCTGTTATTAGAGGCTCCTCATTACTTAGCACCAACAGGGTTTGTCTTTGGAAATGTGTGAAGAAGCTCTTTCTTTTTTCTTATTTTCAATGCACAAATTAAACTCCACCAGAATTCAGGCAATTTGAAAGGTTTTTTTAAGGAAAATACTTTATCAGTGCAGATATCAAGGTGGTGTTGTTGTTTTTTTTTATTGAAGAGGGTTCAGACACGAACTGGTGAGAATTGATGGATCACACAGAGGGAACCAGACATCCCATGGGAAACTACCATGCAGGCTCAGTGCAGGGACAGGACAAAGTGTGTGTAGGGGGGAGGCGATGCATCAGAGCGCTGGAGGGCAAGTGCTGCTGAATTTCAAATCCCAGGTGTATAAATGTGCCCTCTGGCTGTGGATCAGATGTGTGTGAACAAGAGCATCTGCAGCAGGAGTAGAGCTGATGTTCAAGATGAGGTGGGGAAAGAACAAGTGGTTACACTGTGGCACTTCCTAAGAAGTATGGGAGGAAAGGAGAGCGGAGATGTAAAGTGTGGCATCCGTAATCCACATCCTGATTGCCAGCTTAGATTCTGTGTGTATGAAAGTATGAAGAGCTGTCACTCCAGGGCATGAATACTGTTATGAGCTACAGTGTGGAATATTTTTTTTGTTGTTGTTGTTAGAGAGTCTTACTCTAAATAATTTCACATTTGCCACTTCTGGAGACAAGAAGTAGGTTAAAATTCTGTGTGTTATCTGCAGGAGGTGCCATGGTTCTCTCTCTGCCTGTATTTTTGTAATTAGCGTATGCAGTGGGATAAAACAACCATTTTGAACTGATGCTGTTAGGCTTTGGTCTTGATCCTGTTTCACTTTGCTGTCTTGTGTTAAGGAGCAGAATTGAATGGGAATTACTTCTGATCCTTTTATACTGGGTCACTAGAAAGGAAATCACTGCAAGTGGAGCTCTGTCTTTGCTTCCACCAGCTCCATTGACTGATCTTTAGTTCTATGTCTTGTCTCTTTTGAACTTCTCTTGACCCCGTAATTGCTTTTATGTAGAGTGTAATTTACCTTTGTGGACCAAAAAATCTATTTGTTCCTCTGAGTCCAATATCTAGTACCTTGCATATAAAACTTTGAGCAGGTGAAAACCTTAAGCAGGGAATCTTGCTGCTTGTTGCTTGTATAAACTGACAGTATTGCATGCCATCAATGATTTATAATTTATGTTGCTGGGAGGATGTTTAATTCACTCATATTCATTCATTAATATTTTAGTATATACATATTTGATTAAAAACAAACTTTCCACAGTAAATCTTGCTTCTGTCCTTCGCTGCCCTTTGCTTTGGTGTCTTAGTTTTTCTTCCTTTGTCTTTGATTATCATCTGCTATTTCAACCCTCTCTTCTCATGTTCTTTCTTTAGGATTTTCTGTGATTTTAACAGGCACTTGTGATCCTAAGAACATGGAAGGCTTAGTGTAGAGGGAGTTTCTGACATGTTTGTGAGTTCTTTTCTTGGACAGTATTTAAATACACTCTTCTTTCCTTCTTCTGACAGAACAGGTAGAAAATGTGGGGACAGCTGGCATTGCCTGCTGGAGGAATATCAGAATCACAGAATGGTTTGAGTTGGAAGGAACCTAAAAGATGATCTAGTTCCAGCCTGAGTAGGGACACCACTTCTCACTGGATGATCTTGCTCAGAGCCCCATCCAACCTGCCTTTGAAAATTTCCAGCGATGAGGCTTCCACAGCTTCCCTAGGCAACCTGTTTCAGTGTCTCACCACCCTCATAGTGAAGAATTTCCTTCTAGTGTCTAACATTTATTTCCCCTCCTCCAGTTTTGATCCATTACCCCTTGCTCTTTCACTACAAGCCCTTGAAAAAAGTCCCTCCCCAGCTTTTCTGTAGCCCCGTCAGGTACTGGAAGGCTGCTATGAGGTTCCCCCAGAGCCTTCTCCAGGCTGAACAATCCCAACTCTCACAGCCCTTGGATCATCTTCATGGCCCTCCTCTGGGCTTACTCCATGAGCTCTATGTCCTTCTTATGTTGGGGGCCACAGAATTGAACACAGTACTCAAGGTGGGGGTCTCACAATACCTGAGTAAAGGGGAAGAATCATCTCCTTTGGCCTGCTGGCCACACTTCTTTTGATGCAGCCCAGGACATGCTGGCTGCCATTCTGGGCTGCCAGCGCACATTGCTGGCTCATGTTGAGCTTCTCGTCCACCATCACCCCCAAGTCCTTCTCTGCCCTGTTTTCAATCCATTCTCCACCCAGCCTGTATTTGTGCTTGGGATTGCCCCAACCAGGTCCAGAACCTTGCACTTGGCCTTGTTGAACTTCATGCATCTGTTGTGCTTGAGAGTTGTGATATAATAATGCTGCTGTAATTCTGCTATTTGTGTGTTGCTGTCTGGAGAGGAGCCCAAACTGAGGGGTTGCTGCCTGGGGTGCAATTTACTCTTTGTCAAAAGTCAGTCAAAAGGCTGTGTGTGCTCTCAAGTCAGGAGGCCAGAGGCAGGTCAGCCTACCCAAGAGCTTGTGCTTCCTCTGCAGCAGCACGTGGTGGGAAAAGGAATTGCAGGGCTCTGTTCTTTAACAGTTGATCGAGTGACAGGACAGCAGCCTAAGTCTTGAAAAAGACCACATGGCACTTGCACCCCCAGCTTTCTAAGAAAGGGACTTGCCTCCTTATTTGCTCCCACTTGACATCCAGAAAAGTAGGGAAGTAGCACTTCTAAGTATAGTATGTAAATAAGAATCTCACAGGCACAAGAAGAGAGTAACTGACAAAACCATGTATATTATTTGGAATGGGTAAACTGATGAAGTTCTGGGGATTTCTTCACAAGAATTACATAAAAGCAGCTAGTAAGAAACTTTGTGCTGATTGGTGTTCATGTGAGAAGAGGGTGTTTTTTAGATGATAGTTGAGTGTTTCAGTATAACTAGTTCTGTCACTTTTTTTGCCTTTAGTTGCTTAGGTTGCTGGTAACTTATGTGGATGCATGGGACATGAGGACATGGTAGTCCTTGATTGCAGGAATTGTAGAGCTCAGCATGTAATTGAGGAGTGCAAAACTGCTGTGTGTTCAAATATACAGAACTGTATGTTCAAATATATTCATTGAGCCTCAGAGCTGAGGCCGGTTGGAAGTTGTTAGTGCATACTGTTATATGTACTGACTGCAGCAGAAGATGAAATGTCTATTTTACTTTCTCACAGTTAAACCTAAAATATATATTTTTTATATATATCAATATGTATTTATATACATGTATGTATATATATACACATATATATGTATATACATATATATGTGTATATATATACATACATGTATATAAATACATATTGATATATATAAAATATATATATTTTATATATATCAATATGTATTTATATACATGTATGTATATATATACACATATATATGTATATACATATAACCTCTAAGTTTACCAAACACACAGTGATTTACCAATCCACAATGATGAGTCATTGCTAAAGATGGATTTTTCCTAGAGAATCATCTTCTTATCTTACCTCTCTTTTGGTTTGAACAGGAGTAAAAAGATGCATGATCCACATATGTGCCCTGAAGAGAGTCAGTGCATCCAAGCCAGCAGATGCATCTTGCAACTTCCAGAGGTGAGAAGCTGAGCGTGCTGGTTACTTTATTTTCTCATGCCGGTCGATGCTGCACACTAAGAAATCCCTACTCCAAAGTTGGGAGGTTGATCATGCTGTCAGCGAGACACTCACTTCCTCTCTTTAGTATTGAAGACTGAATTCATAATCTACTTTTTACCCTAGAAGGGATTGTGTAGTAGAACAGATAAATGTTATAAGCTTCCTGGAGATAAAGGAGGGTGACACAAGGCAGTGGGGCTCAGGTCACCATAGGGAAGTGTCTTGAAACGTTTAATAGATGAGGCTGAAAAGGAAGCCAAAACCGTGTCTGCTTGTGTAGTTCAGATTAGTCTTTTGTTGCCTCTTAGAAAGAAGAATCTGCTATTGCAGCCTTGGGGAGGACTGTTTCTTTTTAAGGACATGGAGTCAATCTCATAGATAAGTTCTATCTTCAGATGATCTGTCATTCAGCAAGATAATTTCACATTAAAGAAAGAATAGAACAGGCTGAAAGTTAAAAAAAATATATGTATCTGTGGCTCTGAAGTTAAAATAATGAATTATGATGTCATGATTATCCAGCATCCTAATACTTGCACCAAGTGGTAGTTTTGTGATTCGGGAAGAACACTCTGGAGTGCTGGGCTAAGTATGGCTGAGCCAGAAGTAAGGGTCGTGGTATAAAATGAGTTCTTCATACTGTAGCTGCTGTGAAGACATTCAGTGTGTGCATGGCACAAAGCAGTGCTGTTCAATTCCTTGACCTAGCTCTCACAAAGGAACCGAAGGCAGCTTAGATGAGTCTCAGCCTTTGCAGAGAAGCGGGATATGTTGATCCATGTGGACTGCTGTACCTCTGACTTCCAGGACCTATGCTACTTTCTCTAATCTGTGCTCTTCTGGTGTACCAGTTCACTTGGAGCCAATTTGAGTATCCATGTAACATGGCCCTACCTTGAGTCAAGTGTATGTAAAGCAGTCACCAAAGTTGTTTAAGTACTGTCAACCTGTCCTTTTTGATTAATTTAGTCATTGTTAAGTTCATCAGGGTTAAAGAAAAGGCTCTAGAAAATTCTAATGCTGAGTAATTCCCGACCCACAAATTGCTTTGCATCTCACATTTCAGATCAATATAGTAAAACAATATCAAAAGGTTGTATGTAACATGAATTTAATACAAGTTATTTAACAGGCACTTCTGCAGATTAACTTGTGTCACCACTGGCAGACCATGATTTAAGTGCATATAATTGTAGTTACAATAGAAAGGAATCCTTCCATTTAAACAGTGTGGGTCATTAAAGCTCCCTAGCATTTAATTATCACCAATTAGTAATTAAGTGAGGTAACACCTTATGCAAAGGACTCAATATATTCTGTGCAGTGAAGGAGAGCTCTCACTGTGTTGTTGAGACCAAATGGGCTGGAAGGGGGTCATCAGCAAAGTATTCAACTGTAGCCTATTAGTAAAATCAGGTATCAGTAATACAGCACTGCTGAACTAATCTGTTTGATGTTTAACCCTGATCAGCACTGTTATCTGCACACAGGGCACTGAGGGATCCTTTAGCATCGATAATGAGGAGTATGAGGCCATGCCTGTGGAGGTGAAGCTTCTACCCCGGAAACTCCGGTTCTTCTGTGATCCCAAAATGAGAGAGCAGATGCTCCAGGCAGCAGTACAATGAGGATTCACGTCAAAGGGGCCACTGTTTACCAGTCTTACCAGGGTCTTTTCACATGAGACCTCACTGACTTGATTAGCCCCACTAGACTAATAAGCCATTTGGCTATTTACATGCACAGGGCACTTCCATTGGAAGTAACTGATTTGACTAGTCTAAAAGAGGTTAAAAATGCAAATGAAAATTCAAAAAAATGTATGTTAACTTGATGGCATCTTTTTCCTTCTGAAACAAGTCATCAGTGTGCCATTTACAGCACTGCAGGCTGAGTGCTGGATGCCAGATGCTACTGCTTTAATGCAATTGTATATTAAAGTAAAAGGAAAGTACACTTGTCCTTGTGTTTTAAGAGTTTAGGTCTACTTTACCTACGTATGAATTTCACAAAACTTGGGATCTTGGAAAGAGGGGGGTAGTAACACAAAGCAGGTCTATGGAATGTTGGAACTGCCACATTGAAACAGGGGATGGGTTATCCACTCTGTCACAAAATAAGTTGGAGTTTGGTGATACAAAGCTTCAGAGGAAGTTTAAAATTCCCTATATGTATCTGAATAAGATAGTTATGCTGGTTTTTTTCATCTTGACAGATGCAACAGCACAGAGTTCCAGTTAATAATATAGTAGAAATCTATTCCTTTGATCAAGTTTAGGTATGTTATACAGAAGTGAATTGCAAAATGCCATCTTGGACCCAAAGCTGTATGAAATACATGTGGGAAGACACTTTTAACAAGCCAAATGAGTCTTTTTTCTAAGTATTCCTCTTATTCCTGGAGTAGTATAACATGAATAAGGGCTTCCATGTAACTTTTTTATTAATTAGGTCTCATTGTTCTTCTCTTTAATGTAAACAGTGCTCATCTCTCCTTATGCAACCTACATTCCCTGGAGCCCTAGTATTGTAGTTAGTTTTGTTGCTTTTCTGAGCTTGTGTTTATAGCTTCACTTTAATTGCTGAAAGGAAATATTACCGACATAGGCAAGGTTATCTGTTGCCCTTCTTATTATAACTTAGAGATTCACAAGATTTTGCCCTGCTTACTGGAAGAAAAAAATTCGATCCTTCTTTTTCTGATGTGATTGTTGTTTATACATAGTCCCCTTATTATGCTGTGATCTAGTCCCAGTTCATCTGTTGATTCTTCGCTGTCATCAAAGAACATTAGTGAATCGACTTGCAGTTAACAAGGCTGCATGCTGGCTGCATGCTGCTGAAACAGCATCCTCTGCTGGAGCCCTGCTGAAGGAAAAATGCCTTGACAGGGGGAAGTAGGGTTGTTTTTTTGGGAGATGCCAGAAGCAAACAGGAATGCTGTCCTTCCCTTGTCTGTACTGTGGAGAAGGTAACTACTTCAGCTATGGGACAAGTACTTATTCCTTTCTTGACTCAGATCTAGGGGAGTAGAAGCCTGCTAGTTGTTCTTAATAGTTATGCTGGTGATAGGGCCTATGTTGTGCTGTCTGTCTTCTTATCTGTGGTGATTTGTAGTGCTCAGTGGACTCCTGGGATATTCTCCAAGGAACATGTTGGCTGAGCTCTGCTCTTTTTGCTTGCCACAGAGATGCCCAGAAAGTTGCTCTGCAGCCACTGGCTCTTTCAGGGGCATTTCTCACGAACTTGAGTTTTTCCTGAAGCTGAGGCTTCTGTAATGAAATCAGCAACGTTTATTTTTCACAAGTGGCAGGAAAGATGAGGCAGCAGCCATTTCAAAAAGGTAAGCTTTAATTGTATTAAAAAATACCCATGTTCTAGTAAGCAGTTTCTCTACACAGCCACAGGCCTATGGGAGCAACCACACATCTGCAAGATGCAAACAACATCAGAGCTGTTACAACTACAACCAGCCTGCTGCAAGAGGCGAGATGGTAAGAACTACCTTCTGGTTCATCTGTACCATTTTACAGGGAAAATGACTAATTCTTTTCCACAGTATGACATACACCTCTCCCATTGCAATGTGATTCCTTGCTTGAGGGCAACCAATAGCTCCCTCTAGAATTGGGATTGTTAATGCTGTTCTGATGTTAAAGTACCAAGGATCATCTGAGACACAGGCTGATATTTAAATATTCATATCAGCATAAGTTGAGTAGCTTGTATAAATACCATTCAAGTAATTTTTTTCCCCCTCCTGTGTAGTTCAGAGGTCTTCCAATATGGTTGTGGCTCTAGACCTCTGAATTGCAACATTCAGAGGGGAGGTGTGAGGAAAACAGTACACAACAGGTTCAGCCCCTGCCTATTTTATCTACAGTGTTGAGAAAAGGACTCAGTTTCTGCCTGACAGCAAGACAAACAACTTTCTTTGTATAAACTCCAAGATGGGAAGTAGTAGAATCCTAGGTCCCATTCATGAAAACACTTACCCTGGCTTCAACTCAGTCTGTTCTAGAAGGGCTTAAAATACTGTAACATAACTAAAAAGGAAGGATAACAACTTAATTATGGACCAGCCCAAGGCACCCATTTATTTTAACCACAATTAAATATTCTCATTTGAATGGCATGTTGCATTGACCAGCACCTGAAATCCTGGTGCATAAGCATTTAGTACCCTCTGGTTTAGACACACATAGCATTCTTTTAAGTCAGCATGTTCCAGTTCCTTGAGAAAGACGTGTTGTTTTCTCCCATAACTACTAAACCACTAGCTTTGGAGGGGGCAGAAATGAGACATTAACTAACTTAGAAGTGATGGCAATGCTGAGAATTTGGCTTCATGTGCATGATTTTGTACCTAGACCTTTGCACTAGGACAAAGTGTTCTTGCCCTTCCTCTTTCCAGAGCAAAGCATGCCAGTGCCTTGCATAGTCTGTCACCAAGTGGGCCGCAGCTGCTCCTAGATTTTTGCTCACTAACTTTGGCATGTCTCAAAATGGAAGAGGTATTACAATAGCACTGCTTTACAGAATAAACTGTACAGTAAGCTACCTTCCCTTGAAAAAGTGATGGAACTTTCTTCTGCCCTTAAGGATGCTGGCTAGGCAAGCTAACCTGTGACAGACATCACAATTAGCTCCAATACACATTGGACTAACTACTTCATATGTGCTAGAAAAGAAGGTATTAGCATGTCTCTGAGACAAATCTGAACTGCAATTCAGTAAAATGCCTTTCTCCTAGAATCCATTATAGTTCTGTTGTACTTGGCTCTATGCAGCTTGGCCAGACCTTGCAGAGGGAAGACTTTTGTATGATTTAAGTCATGATATACCTTATTCAGATTTAAAAACCTAGCTTTTATTTCTCTCCCAAGCTTTACCCTCCAATCCAGATAGTACAATAATTAATTACTTGATTATACATTTCTAGTACAACTGGAGTTAAAATGCAACTATGAAGCTTTTGCTCTCCTGTTAAACTCTAGCAAGTACCAACTAAGCACCTGCTGTGCTGTGACTTGGGTGACAGGAGAGGAGCATCCCAGACTCCCTCCACCAGGACACAGGACATACACCTGGTTACTGTAACCACCAGTCATCCTGGGCTCTGATCACATGCAACTGACCAGAGACATCACACTAAAGAAATCAAAGGCACCACTGTAAAGGCAAAGTACTTCAAATGGAGAAGAGGATTTTTGCAATAAAAAGCAATAGCCTACCTATGCCACTTTCCTCCCTCTTTTAATTGAAAATACACCCAACTTACTGCCTCCTTCCCAGATGCTAGTATTAAAAAAAGCAACTGTAAAGTCCTCAAGAGGGGATTTCAAATATATACACTCAGTTGTTTTACTCTGTATTATCTCCCAGAAATACAAGATTCAGTGAAGTTGGTTCCAAACAAAACCAGCCTACTGAATAAAACCTCATGGCTCAAGCCATTTGTTTAGATCATATACCTATTTATCAAGGATTTTCCACATGTGCCAACAATACAAGCAATGTCAATTAGAAAAGGGGAGTGCAGCTGGAAAGTTCTTTTGCAGCAAATAGAACAAGGGAGGGTTAAGATAGAGAAGGCTTTTTGTTGTCTTTTCTGTCTTTTGTAGCAGTCACCTGCCAGGAGAGGTTGCAGAGAAGCAAAATAGGCTGTAGCAATTCAGCTGGAATGTAGCATGGATGCTACTTTTACAGTCATCTGCTTGCTTTTATGCTTCTGCAGCCACAGTGCTGCTACCAAGTGACGACCCAGTTTCTGGAAAGCGGAGGTTTAATGAATGAAATAATAATTTCAGGAGGTTCTGCTCAGTGGGCTTTAGCAGTCTTGTCTAGTAGACCTGATGTTCTGACAGCTTGCGAACACAGTGCTCTAGTGCTATAAGGCCTCTGACTGCAGAGGTTGTACAATTGCCATGACAAATTTAAGGTTTGTTTCTATTTACTTCATGAAAAGATCTACTGACATCAAAGAGAACGGAAAGTCATTAACAGCTGACCACAGCTAAACTATGTAGCCAGCCTTGAAGAAAGTGAGAGGAAGAATTGCTAGAGACAAGTTTCAGTTCCTTTTTTTTTGTATTATCTATCTGAAGGAAGTTAAGCAAGTGTCAGCAATACAGTGTCAGCAATACTTCCTCAGGGATCTTCACTGCAAACAGCATGTTAAAACTGAAGTGTATGTCAGAAAAAAAGAATGGAGATTGCAGGTCACTTTTTTCATACTAGAGATGTTGATTTAAAAAACAAAGCCTTTTCTTTAGGAAGTGGCTGGTCTTTTCATTAAATGATATTCAGCTCTGTTTCTTCCTCTTTCTCCATGTTTTTCCTCAACCTTCTAAGGATGATTACATTACAGTTGTGAGTAACTGGCACTACAAGCAGCAGCAAGTTTTTCTCTGTACAAAAACATCCAAAGCCCTCAAAAAGCAGGCAGGGGAGTGACTGCAGAGAGACAGATCACAGGAACATAATATGCTGAAGCATATACCAATGAACTGTGCACTAAGCCTTGTGAGGCCCCTGATTCTACAACTCGCCCAAACCTCTGAATCCATAGCAAGCAAAACTACCCCTTTGCGAAACAGCCTTCAGGGAAAAACAGGACCTAGCAGCCCCCTTCCTTCCAGAAGGAGGCAATCCACTGAGGGTCTACTTGGAGAACATTTGCTTCACCTTTTTTAAAAACAATTGAAGGGAGAGACTTTGGTGGATCAGGCTCTGTCTCATCCTAGAAAATGTTACAATACATGGACCCATCAGTTACAGTTTGCATTTCTACAAACTGCAGAAAGGCTCCCAGTTTGCTGAATTATATTACGGTATAAGCAGCAGCTTAATTAGCTATAGCCATAGTTCAGGAAGAACAGTTAGCTTAAAGCTGATGCTACTACTGGCTGAAGGATTTGGGGCAAAGCAGTACGTCACATCTAGA